CCTACCTCTGTGGCTGGGATCAAACAGTATTAATTTACTCAAAATTTATTTTTCAAAAAATCTTTATAATTATTTTTAATCATTAATCTTAGTAAATCACAACCCATTGTACAGATTAGAAAAAAATAGGAAATTCACTAAGAGCACTTGGGAAGAAAGCGTGAGACAAAATTACAATTTACACTTCCCTCCATTCTTCCTTTTTTTACAATCACCTCAAGCTGAATTTCCAATGAATTCCAAAGAAAAAGTCATTTGGAAAATTGGGCATCTTCAAAAATTGGAGGAAGGTGGTTGTTGATAAGCTTTTGAAGAAAGAGATGCAAAGAGAGACATGCTGTGCTTTTTTCCCCCTCATCCTGACCTCTTTGGAGTTACAATAAAGTCAAGCTTCTCTCGTCCCTTGTTTACCAGGTTCTATGAGAGAGAATAAAGAGAAAGATATTCCTGTTGATGAAAATGATGACAGATAAAATGTGTTTGAAGGCTATAAAAGCTTCTTACATCTGGAGCAGCTGGCAGCCTGGGATTGGACTCTAAGGGGAGCTCATAGATATCTAATTTGAGCAATGGTTAAAAGTAAACTTGGGAACAGCTGATTCAGTGCAGTTATCTCTGGCTCGAGGAAGTTTTTGTAATGTTCAGAGGCTGGTACATAAAAATCCACAGGACACATATTTGCTGAGTCTAATATCTTTATGAAAATGAACAGGGATGATTTAAACGAATATATTAGACACAGCTGTTCTTACATAACTCAGGATGCAACATACTATAGCAGGTAATGAGCCATTAAAATGGGCAGGAAAGACTTACTAATGTCTCAATAAATATATATATTAAAATACACCAATAACATGCAAATATCAGTGGCATAAAAATCAATTAAATAAATTGCTAGTCATTCAGAAATATTCACAGTCTACCACAAATACAGCACTTTGCTAAAACTCAAAGACACAGAAACATCATATTCCAACTGCATTTGAGGATCACATACCAGATACTGATTCCAGCGTGAGGAAATCTAGTACAATATCACAAAGGATACAAGATAAATTGGCTGAGACCGTATGCCAAGGCCGTGTAGTCATACTATTCAAGCTATAGTGATTTAAAACATTAAAGTGGTTTTCAGCTCAAATTCTTGTTCAGAGCATCCAGAGATGAATACAAAGAAGAAAAGGCAACTGAAAGGTGCTATTTAATTAGATGAAGCTACATGATAGCGTTTCTAGTACGGGGAGCCTCCAAATTGTGTTAAGAATTCTCATCCTAAGGTCTGATAAATGCTGCCCCCATCATGTTTAAAGTGTAGAGACTTATATGTTTATATATATATATATATATATATATATATATATCACTGTAAATATTGTGAATAAAAGTGATGTGTGCCAATAAAATAAGTGTGACTAGAATAGTACTCATACAGTACAACTGCTTAGAGAAAAGTAATGTACAATCTTAAAGTTGCTCAGAGAGAGACAGATGAAAGTAAGACAGCTCAAAGGCTGAGCTTCTTTGAGAGATAAAAAGGGCACTATTAGAGAAGATGCAAAGGAATGGGGCTTTTAAGACTGTTTACAGCATATTGGAGACAAAGAGTTGGTGGAGAGTCTATGTAGAAATATTCGCCAGACCTTTGGAAATGCACAAAGCTTAAAAGTAAAACAGTGCTGAGATCAAATGTTTGGAATTGGTATTAATCTGCTTAGATGTGATACTGGAATGCCTGAACGAGGCTAAGAGTAAATGAAAATATAACACAGAAAGGATACAAACAGGATAGATGAGATGTCCATCTCCTTAGAGCAACAACAGAGAACCAATCAAAGATTCAAGATAAAAAAGCTGTGAGTATAATATGCCATTTATAATAACACCAGAGTCATGATGAAAAGATGTGGAAACTATGTAAGCAAAAGTATAAAATACATTCTGAAAACATTGGAAGTAGAGGACTAAAACAGACATTGAATTTTGGTAGGATGCAATTGCTAACAGTCTATGGAGTATTTAAAACAATGGTGGGAGCAGAAGCCAAATATTTTAAAGCTACACCAACTGGGCTACCTTTTTAAAACCTTTCACTCCTCCTGCTATCCTTTTTTATACCAAAGTTACCTTTCTAAAATCCATATTTCATGATGTTACTTTATTGTTTACAGCATTTTAATGGCTCCCATTGCCCACAGAGATCAAAGTTCTGCCTGCCGAGGATATCGTCAAAAAAGCCATTTGTTGCAATCAACTTTGTTATTTGTCTCTCTTTAACATGTCCTGACTTTTTAGGCATTATTTCTGTCTTAATGCTGATCCTTCCAAACAAAGAACGTGACAAAATATCAGTTCTTTTATGACCGGAAATACCCTCGTTATTTCCCTCATGTGCAGTCCTCCTTGGTCCTCCAAGCAGAACTAATCCCTCATTTCAATACCTTCATGGAACTCTTTAGTTGTATCATTATATCACATTTGTTAAGTAATAGTTTGTTTATAAGTTTTCTCTCTCCTAGTAGAGTATAAAATTAAAAGCAGCGTCACATTCATTCTTACAGTCCAGCAACTAGCATTGCTGACATTTGCAGTTTATGAATGACATCATTCATCAATCAATATCTACTGAAATGCAGGTTGTTTAGGGATGAGAAGAACTGAGCAAATCTAAGGGTAGAGTATAAACAATTAAAAATAGAAATATCACTAATGCTAAAACAAGAAAGGGAAAGATCATTAATGGCTCTAGATATACTAAAGTAAACAAAATTTAGAGTGATGGAAAGAAAGAGACCAATTTTCACAAGGTGAACCTTGATGAAATGACAATTATTGCGCTTCTTTTATGTGCTGGATACTGGGATGGGTTTTTTATATGCCTTTGTTTATTATTTATCACTTAAGCCTTAAACCAATTCATAAGTGACAGATTTTGTCATATGAGTTTTAGAACTTAGTTGTAGCCACAGAGCAAAAATTTGAACTCTGTTTTCTCTAAGGTTCATGCTCTTTCTACACAGTTAAATAAAATATCAACGATATAAGATATTTTGAATTGTTAGAATGCAGAACTAAAATGACCCACACTGAATCTGAGCTACTATGAAGATAAGTAAAAGTGAGGCTGGGGATATAGCTCAGTGGTACACTGCCTGCCTGGCAAGTGTGAGGTCCTGGGTTTGATTCTGGTACCCACCAAAGATAAATAAATAAATGACAAGAGAAACTAGATTATTGGTTACATTAAGAGAATTGTATTTTCTTCTTTCATATTTACAATTTCGGCCTAAAACAGAAAAGACCCTTGTTCTGTCTTAGAGTTTTCAACAATCTTCTGGAGGTTTCCAGAGCTTTCCCTCAGATTCATAATGTCTTAGGTTTCTTCATTCTACAAATATTTGTTCTATAAATATTTATTTTATAAATATTTATGATGTGCATAGTATTTGTGCCCAGGAATATAGATTTCTTATAAATTAACAAAGAGGAATCAAAAATAATCTGTAAGGAAAATTTTTTTTTGTTTTTCTTTTATTTTATTTTGAAGAGAATAAAACCAAATGACACAAAACAAAATAGAATCACTCAAAACAAAAGGATCAACATGGTATACGACTTAAAAGCAAAATACATTATCTTTAAGAATTGCCTATATCATCAGGCATAATAAAATTGAACAAAACAGTACAGAACAAAACCAATAAACACAAAATATTGGAGACATTATAGGACTTCAAAAGAAGATAATAGTCAAACCAAAATGAGTATTGTAGTGTATCTTACTGTCTTCAAAGTGGTTGCCTATACCCTCAGATTTGATACTATCAAACAAAACAGAATAAAATAAATTCAGTCAAAACAAAACAGTGAAAGTAATACAGGGCTTCAAATCAAGCTAATAGGAAATCAAAAATGGTTACCATAATAGATCTTGCTATCTGTGGAATAGCTGTCCATGCCCTCAAATCTAATACAAGTAGACAGACTAAGACAGAATATAACCAAACTAAACAGAACAATGAAAGAAATCTGGGTATCAAATCATGATAATAGATTAACAATGACCACTGCCTTTCTTTTTAGACAATTTCTCCTCTTTTACTTCCCCAGGATGTATTGTGCATTTTGGATCCCACTAACTCCTTTAGCTTTTAGATTAGGGAGGAACTCACTATTCACCTGACTGATTCTGAACGTTTTTTACCCCTGAGCTTGATCTCAAGTTGTATCCATTTACCGACAAGAGCCTCATGGTTTTCTTTCTTTATAGCTGAGTAGCTTTCCATTGGATAAAAATGTCATGGCTTTCTAACCTATCTGCAGCTGCGGGACAAGCTACCCCCATTTTTTTCTGATTCCCTGTCACATAGAGCATTGTTTTCTCATCTTTGATTTTCAGTCTATAAACCCCTTTTGGGATAAATGTATTTCTTTTTAGATCATATTGATGGCCCCTATCTCCTGATCCACTCTGCCTGTGTTTCTTTTTATTGGTGAATTGAGGCCATCTATTCTAGTTATTATGGCCACCTTCTTTGCTTCATCTTTGCCCTGCTATTTTTCTGCCACTGGTTGTCTACTTTTCCCCTTCATCCCACTGTCTGCCTGTTCAGTGTGAGTCCCCTCTGCTGCTGTTCCTGAAATCATGGTCTTTTCTCTCTCTCTAGAATGTCCTGCAGGATTTTTTGTAGGGTTGGATTGGTGGTCATGAACTCCCTGAGTTCCTCTTTGCATGGAAGCATCTTGTTTCTCCACTAAGTTTGAAAGATAGTTTCCCAGGGTATATCAGTCTGGGTTGGAAATTATTTTCTTTCAGAACTTGGAATACTTCACTCCAAGCTCTTCTTGATTTGATGGCTTGTGTCAAAAAGTCAGCTGTGATTCTGATGGGTTTCCTTTAATAGGTGATCAAGTTTCTTTTCTCTGATGACTTCTTTTCTCTTCTGTTCTTATGTTGAATTTCTGGGATCCTGATTGTTATATGTCTGGGGGTAGATCTATTTTGATTATAGCTGGCTGGAGTTCAGTATGCCTTACTTATCTGAATATCACTTTCTTTTCCTATGCTTGGGAAATTTTCTTTAATTATTTCTGTAAATAACCTTTGTATTTCATTTGTGTTTACCCCTGATTCTTCATTCCTATATTTTATTCTTAAATTATAGATCCTCTTGTCATCTTCTAGCCTTTGTATTTTTACTTCCTGATTCCTTACTACTTTTAAGAGATCTTTCGTGATTGCAAGTTGCAAACCTGTCTTCAAGGTTTGATAGTCTATCTTTAGTTTCTTTCAAGCAGTTTTGCCAGCTTTCAGTGAAGTTTTTAATTTCCTGGTAATCTTGGGGCTGGGAATTTAGCTCAGCGGCATAAGCACCTGCCTTGTGAACAAGTGGTTGTGAGTTCGATCCCTGGTAAAAATAAATAAATAAATAAATAATAATTTCCTGGTAATCTCTTTGAATGTTTCATGTATTCTAAATCTTTTTTGTATTCTTTATTAAAGGTTTCCCTTATTTTTCTATGCTCCTCTATTCTTCCATCTGTGTCTTCTTTAGAGGTGTTCAGCAATTCTTTTATTATGTTTCTCATTTCTTCTTTTATCTGAGATAGTATTTCTGTTCTAATTTCTTTTATAGCCTCTTGAAGTTGTTCTTTTATTTCAGTTTCTGTTGCTTTAGAAACTTCAGGTGCACGACTCCTAATCTCTTCCATGTTAACATCTCATGGACCAGTACTGCTGGATTGGAGGCTAGAGACTGTTTTTGCTTCTTCCTTTTGCCACGTTCCTGGTTCCTTCTGGACAAATGAGAGGTGGAGTCCCCAGCACTTCCTGTGTTAGCTATAATTCCTCTGAAGCGTGCTGGCTAGGGAGATCTGATGGTGACCATTGGGTGCACTGTTGTAGGGCTACAGGTGGCTGGTGGAGTGCAAGCAGAGGCAGGGCAGGCTGGTGGCTCCCTCCAAAGCTGTTTAACTATAGGGAGCACTCACCATGTTAGTATGCTCAGGGCGGGCAAAGCTGGTTGGGGAGAGCTTTAGGGAAACCTCAGTGTGGCTGTAGGATTGTGCACAGGGTCGCAACTCAGTCCAACAATTTCCACCAGTCTGCTCCAAGCTAGGAGTGGCTGAATGAGGCCAGCTGCAGTTCTGGCTCCAGGCTTATCCTGCCCAACTCCAAAATGGCCCCCCACCAATCACCCACCCCCACGGGAGGACTGAATCCCCCACACTCACCACCAGCAGTTCTCCTGCTCCCTCTTCCACTGAGTCTCTCCAGAGAGGCCTTCAGGCTTGCCAGCCACCAGCTGCACTGTGCCCATGCGTCCTCAGGTTCCAACGGTGCTTCTAGCACAGTGGTTCCAGCTCTGGGTAAAAGCACCTCCAGCAACTGCCTTCTTCTGTTTAAGTTTTTTTTTCTTTTTCTTTTTTTTTTTTTATTCTTTCTGTGGGCTTCAATCCTCACTCTAGATTCTTCTTGCATGTGGGGACTCACTTCCTTCTTTCTTGTCTTCTCCAGAGTGCATTCCAGCATCTGAGCTGCTTCTCCTAGAGAGGCTGTTTACTCTGCTACTGCTTACTGTTCCACCATTACCCCAGGAACTCCTGTTTGGGAGGAGAATCTGCTTGCAGAGAATACAGGCCTGGAAAGGAGCCAGTTACCCTACCTCAGACAGCCGAAGTGGCAGGTCTGAGGGAAGAGATGTCTTGTCTTTGTGACTCCCGGAGTGGGGGACATCCCCCATGCTTTTCAATTCTCTTCTGTTCAGTAGTGCTCATATTTGGGGGAGAAATAGTGTGTTTTCGGTTCTTGGAGGTTTTGGTCCATACTAAGTTGGCTCCAAGGCAGGTTGGCATAGCAGGGCCATGGTTCATGTCAGCTTCAAACAGCAGGTCAGAAACAGGCAAGAGAGAAGAAAAAATATTTTAATGAAGCTTAGATATAAAGAAAATCATTACACCATGAGGTCAAATATCACAATGATTCAAACAAAAAAGGAAAATGAGAGAATAATTGATATGAAGCTAATATAAAAAAACAGGAGGGTAGAGTGGGCATTCTTCCAGACAAAAAGGAAAGAAAGAAAGGAGGGTAGGCATGAAGAGAGAGGAACAGAGAATGAAAGAGGGAAAGGAAATTAAAATGAAAAAGGGAAAAGAGAATAAAGAAAGAAAAACAAAGGAACAAAAAGAGGGATAAGAGAGGAAAAGAAAGAACAAAAAGAAGGGGAAGGTAAGAGAGGAGGTGAGGATTAGGGAAATTAAGACTAGGTGGGGCGGGAAGGTACTGAGAACTAGAGGTAGTGACCATTGGGAAATGCTGAAAAACAATGACTAAAGTATGCAAGTTTGATTATACAGATCAAAATGTTATTACTGTCTATACCTGGAAGGCAATAAGGAGCTACTGAGGCTTAAAGAAAACTGCAGGGCTACCTGTGTGATTTTACAAATGGGTCAACTTTATTGTTCAGCTAAGTATCTATAGAACACAAGTATATTAAATTTAAAGTACCTCTCTTATTTTGTATTGCTTTTAATGAAACCCAAAAACTGAGCAACTGTAGGCATTCAAAAAAATGTAATAGCCCTTTTTCTCACTTATATACTGGGGGAAGAATTCTCAAGAGTCAAGAAGGAGCAGTGGGAAGAATTCTTGTTTTGAACCAACACTCTCCCATAGATACATAAGCAGCTCCAGCACCTCTCCTGGCTCAGGACCTAGTGACCTTCTCAACCCTTTGCTAATTTATTTTTCTTAATGCTGGAAATACACCTCTTGCCTTCATCAGTTCTTTTCTGTTTAAAACCCTTGATGGCCTTATATATATATATATATATATATATATATATATATATATATATATGAAAGCACTGGACAATGCATTTTACTTGTGGGTTAAAGCTTTTTCCAAGCAACTATCTTGTTACATTTAATTTTCATACATGAATTATAATTTTTCCGTGGCTTTCTGAATAACATTAATAAAATTTGCATATTCATCATAACAGTAAATAACACTATGAGAAATATTTAATATTTTTGTCAACTTTTAGAAAACAGTTGGAACAATTGAAACTGTTAAGAAACTGTTTACTTAAAAACTAGCTTTCTCAAAACAGAAGGTAAACATATTGTTTTTAAAAACGTGTACAATTTAAACAGTAGGAAAGAAATGAATTAACTCCTTCATTATCTTATTCCACAAGAACACTATATTTTTAATTAAACAAAGTCTGTAAAATAGATTCCAATCACACATTTGAAAGTCAACTATTTGATTCTTATTACTCATTTCCAATAATACACTGAGTTTTTCATATTAACTTATTTCAACTCTGCTCCTACATGACTTTAAAGTATTTATATATTTATAATTAATAAATCAATCAATTCAATAAAATTCTAGATTCATTACAAGTCTTTTAGAAAGAGAGACCTTAATACTTCTCATTTCCTCCTGTCTAGCTCCTTCATTCATCATCTACCCCTACGAACTCTCTGCCCCAAGAATATATAAATTGACAACCCCAATCCATTGATCAAAGGAAGGCATTGTGCGAAGTGGTTTGTCACGATTTATACCCGCATGTCTCACTGTAGGCAGGGCTTTTGAAAGGTGATTGAATTATGGAGGCACTATTCTCATCCATGAATTAGCCCATTGATGAGTTTTATAGCTAAATGAATGTGCTGATGGGAGATGGGGCCCAGCTTACTGGAGTGGGATGGAGACCAAGAAGGGTTTCTCTCCCTCCCTGCATCCTCCCTTCATCTCTGCTTCCAAGCTGCCATTTGAGAGCAGCTCTCTTCTGCCATGCTGTTTCTCATTTGGAGTCCATCAACTGTGAACTGCAAAGGGGGACAAGATACCTATCTTCTTTAAATGGTGCGTACTGTACATTTTGTCCCCACAATGAAGAAAGTGACTGTAAAAGATGTTCATGTCTCAAAAAGCTTGTGACACAGTAAAAGTGTCAAGAATTAATAAGAAATTTTAAAGTAAAAAATTAGATAGTAAAGTTAATTTTAATACACTATGTTTCTTCTGGTTGTTTTGATCTTTCTGATGACACAAAATACATGAAGCCATAATGTTCTCTATGTGCTATTCTCTGTGCCCAAAGCTAATTGTTAGCTCTTAATTACTTACACAGAGTGAGCCATCAACATTTTTAGTCCACAGGACACAATGTAATGTGTCGACAGGTTTCATAGGTAACTTCTCTTCCTTCATCAAAAGTTCTGTTTTCTGCGGTAATGCACATGCTTCTGCATTTTGTGATGAACTGCTCTGAAAGATCTTATTCAATGCTTATATTGGGTGATTTTAAGATGGCAAATGGCTAGGAAGAGCATGTAAAAGAAACATCTCAATTTAGTAGAGGGGAACTTAGAGACAGCTCCACAACCTGCTTAGAGTCGCTCATTGTTTGACGAATCAGAAACTGATGTTGATAGAAAAAGATGAAAGAAGAAACCCACCAAGTGATGAATCCAAGCAGAAAGCTGTCTTGAAATGAGCTATGTATGCATCAACAGGGTACTTTCCAGCAAAAGTGGGTTACATGGGAGCAAGAGATGGGATTTCTGGGGAGGAGAGGAAGAGTCTTACAATCTTCTTTTCCCATTTTAAATTTTCCAGTTTAAAGCAAGCTGGGTATGTATACAGGCCATGTACATGCATGTGTTGTGAAAAATAAAGAAAGAATTAAGGTTTTGATTTGGCACTAAATTCACCTTTTAAAGTCAAGTTTAAAAGACTACTTTTTGTCTGATAGTCATCTTAAAAAGTCTGAGATTACCTGAGATTTCATCCAAAGGCTGGATAAAAAGCTTATTGATAGTAAGTCAAAAAGTAGCAGAGAGAAATAATAAAATTTGATACCTTCAGTGCCCTTTGTAGTTCTGTTCTATCAATGAAGACACCCAACCTAGAGATTAACAGAAGAATTCACCAAGGCAGTTCATCACAAAATACTGAAAATTATACAAGAAAAGAGATGAGTGTGTGCTGTGACAGACAAGAAAATATTCATGAAAGAACAAAACACTAAGGGCTAGTTACAGGTAACTTTAGAGTTTGGACATTATGAAATTTGTGGGCACATCAGGCTGGGTGCATGAGGCCCAAAAATGTCAGTGGATCACTCTACATAAGTAATTAAAAGCTAACGATTGGCTTCAACCATAGAGAATATAACGTACATTATGATTCAATGTGTTTTGTTTTAAATAAATACGTATTAAATAGCCCACAGAGCTTATTATTACCCTCTATAGTTAAATACAGCAAGTAAATTAAGATGTGAGGAAACATATTAAATTATGTTTTCAGTAAGAGTATGATTCCAAAATCAAATGGATAAGAAATGAGCTGAAGACAGAAGTGAATAGTTTAAAATATTGAGAGATAGGCCAGAAACATCATTTGAAGAGTAACATGCGAAGAGTGTCTATCATAAGGAATGCTCTTCTTAGATTTTTGCACCATTTTAAATAATAATTATATAAATACATGGTGATAATCATGATATTAAGAATGAAATTGTAAACTCTAAGACAGTGAGTGAAACTGCTTTTTTACCTAATTGGATAGCAAAATCCTAGAACGTTATTTACTGTGATTGTGGGGAAAGGCAGGCCTGCATAGGTCCCCTTGGCTCCTGTACGTCTTTATGGGTCTGTCAATAATGCAAATCTTTGATTTCTGTGTTCCAGGGCAGTATCTTAAGGCCATGTTTAGAGAGAACAACCTAGAGAAATGATAGAATGTTTTCCTGTGGGCAAAGAGCAGGCTTTCTTACTGTTTGCTACGAAAGTGTTGGACTCCCCAAAATCAGTGTTCCTCAACTGAATACAAAGCCAGTGTGTGTACAGCATCCATCTAGGCCCCTTCTAACACTTCCATGAGACCAACATTGTGGTACTCATGTGGCTGTTGTATGATAAAGTTCTTAGTCTGTCACTTTGAAGTCTTACATCTTTTTCCGACATTCACAAAGCAGGCATTAGGCATTAGCTTTCTAGCAGGCTCTGGAGCAAAACCTCAGACATGGCAAGCATATTGGTACACATACTCTTTACCAGGCACATATTTGGTTGTGCATAGCATTCAAGCATATTAAAGATACTATATTCGCAATATTATGTTATGTTACTGCTCTAAATAGTTATTTTTTAAAAAACTTTAAGTACTATTTGCTCACAGCAAATTCATAACATGTATGTTATTACATATGTATATAAATGCAACTGGATGAGTCAGAATCTTCTTACTTTTTATTTCTATTTTAAATATTATCCATATGCTTGTAGATTTTAAATTTTGGTTAAAAAATATTTGTTATTTGAAACTTGCAACCTTTCTTTCCAACAACTTATTTTAATTTTCTTTCTTTTCTAGAGAACTGTTGAAACCCAGCCACATAAAATATACATCACTTAAATTAAAAGCAGAAACATGGTCTTTTGGTCTCTTCTCTACTCATACTGTGACATTTATTCCACCTTGAACATCTGTAAGAGTTACCTCAGCATCATAACAGTATATGACATAATAAACAAATTGACAACATAAAAATATCACTATAATCTTATAAATGGCAGGCTGCTATAAGATAATTATGAGGATGAATAGCTTTCCTAGTGTCAAATACAATAATATTTTCAATAAGCTTATGACAGAGCATCCTCTGTTTCTTTGCAACCAATACTGAAAATGTGTGGAAATATGAACTTTTTCTCAAATTCATAAAAGCCTAAGCAGAGATGGTGACATAATTATAATTATATTAAGAAGCATGGTGGATTGGTTGTCAGCACACTTTACATTTAACAATCCTGGGTGTTTTTACATGATAATGGCATAATGACAGTAATGAACTTAGAAGTTATTCTTAGCTGAGTATCACAGCAGAGTACAATCGATTTCTGTAGAAGCCGTAAATGCAATCTTCAACCTTATAGGTTATTGTAAATGCAAAGCACAAATTCTCATTCATAACTACTTAATTAAAGAACATTATCGGTTTACCTGTAATTGCTTTAATTTATCACAGTGTTACAATTTATAAGTAATGTGTATTATTCTTCAGTAGTTTTATTGTAATTACACATAATTTACAATTCACATTACCAGATTTCTAATTAGCCTCTAAATATTCTTGGTTATAAAAATGAAAATACTATTTTAAAGAGACCATGATAATTAACAATGTATTAAATCTATTGGCTATCAAACATACACCAAACAATAAAGCCAACTAATTCAGGCTATTTAGCTGATAGGTTATAAAATTTTATAAAGTTATGGAGTACAACTTAGTCAGTCTTTAAGGTGCCACCACTAATAAGTCTCCCAAATTAATTTTAATAGAACTCTGGCCCACATTAGCTTTAAAAAGTAATGTACTTATCCCTTTTTAGTAGGTGACACAGCACTAGACACAGGGACTAGTGGTATAGACACCCGCTGGAACATTCCTAACTGAGCTCTCCTATTTTTAGAATTTTTGAGTTGCTCAGCTGAGTAGATTGAACAACAAAAAAGTCAATCAACTTAATCTGTTGTGTTTCTAGAAACTGGGAACAATAGTGTGGTTATTCAGTTTTAAAAAGTCACTATTTTGAATTGCGAAAGTTTTTAAAGAGCTCTTTGGCATAATGTAGCAATGGCCAAGGTTACATGGCCTGCCCCTTTTACTTGAAAATTGACTAATGAAAGACACATCACTGGCTATAATAGTCCATAGGGGATGCAGCCACCTATGTATTGTGCTTTAAAAGTTCTTTAAAACTCAGTGTCTCTTTAAATCAACCTGAAGTTGTAGGATCAATACTTTTGGTTGGTTAGGCATTTAGCCACAAAACATCTATAACTGTAAATAAAATATAAGCATGGTTAAAACATCGAACACTTAAGAATGTTTATAGATGAAACAGTATTAGGCAAAAGAATTAGAAACATAGAAAAATACTAAATCAGAAAATAAAACAAAAAGGATTTTTGCTGAGAAAAGAAGCTAAGGCAAAGTAATATATCAAAAGTGTATGTGGTGGGGCTGGAGATACATCCAGGAACCCAAAGAGCCTGAGAAGCATCTGTGTTCTATGATGGAATGGAAGATCATTGAAGAGAACTAGGTCTATTATCAAAGACAAATGTCCCTCCTTCAGTAATTTTGCCTAAGGCTAACCATCAAATCACTTTCCCAAGATGTATTTATCCCAGACTTTGAAGCTGTTGTGCTTCGACACTTTTAATGAAAATGAAACTTTCCATGATTTAGAATAAAAATAATTCATTATAACTTTTTAACTTAAATAAAAAGATACCCTCTTAAATTTATAAATCTCACTTACACTTCAATGTTTACCACTACAACTGCAAATCAGGTACTAAATTCTTTTATATACTATATTCAGAGACCTAACCAAAGAGGCATCCAAAGAATGTGAAGATTACATGAAACTATGGGTTACAGTACTGTTTGGTTCTTCCTTTAATGGGTGTCACTGCCATGAAATAAACAAAGCTTTATTTTGAGGACCAGCTTGGAAGCATTTTGTAATGATGGTGCTCATTGTTACTGGATTGTCCTGTGGTTAACTCACAGAGCAGTTAAAAACCCTACATTGAGTACACTTCCATCTCAAACCACACTTTTCAGTCAGCCTATAATATCACAAGAAACATTGTAGAATTGAAATTATTTTCATTTCAATCAGACTCAATATATTTTTGTTCGGTTAAGCTGTCCCAGGTATGTGCAATCCTCTCCCTTCCAGACTGTCTTTATTTAACATGCTCAAATGAGCTACTAGTTTAGATTATAAATGAGTGTCAATTTTTCCTAGAAACAGATTGATAAGGTTGATTCTGTACAGTAAAATTCTTCTTCTCTCTCTCTCTCTCTCTCTCTCTCTCTCTCTCTCTCTCTCTCGTTTTAAATCACATTTAAACATACATAGGAAGACTATATTGTTATGTTAGAAATTACACCATCTGAAAAAGAGTTTAATATGCCTCATAAAGGGACATGCCATACCTCAGTTGTTTACTTCTTGACTGGAACATAGAACACTATCCCATTCTTCCTTTTGAATATGACTTCAGTTTGTACAGTGTACTACATAAATGATTTTCCATGGCTTTTTAAAAGGCGGTACATATTAATATTTTAAACTGAAGTAATTGCTTCGTGTTCAGCAATGGGTTTCATTTATGAGTGTTTATCCTCAGCAAATGGAAAGTATGGTTAATCTAAGTTAAAAATGGATTCTTTAAATAGCTCTAATTACTTTCTGTTTATATTTGTGTGTATTAGACACTTAAGATTTAATCGGCAGTATTTCTAACAAATCATAATGTTTATTAGCTGGTTTTAAATTATTGTTATGGATGGAAGTTGAATGAGAAAATAAATTATTTGTCTGTTATACAACCCAGTAAATAAAAGATGGACTAAGGTTTTTAAGATTTTTAGTGTAACTTTAAATTTCAAAACAATTTACCATTAAAAAAATAATTTATCAGAAAAAGGTCACATAAGGCTGATTCATTTTTTTTCTACAGCTTTTTTTTCATTCTCTAGAGATAGAGACAACAAGCAGTCCCTAATCGTATAAGGTGAGTAGGGATTTTGTGTTCAAACATTGTTAGTATCCTGATGTTTGAGTGTCAGAGAAAGGGAAGTAAATTTTAACTTTAATTCCATATACTTTACTTTGAAGAAAAATAAATATCACCCCAAATAGGTTGATTTTAAAAATTCTTCAGGATTTAGGTATATGCAAAGCTTTTTTAAATCAATATAATTTACTTAAATTCTGGTTTTATTAACCTGAAAGGGCTCTGCTGAATTCTTTGCTCTTCCTGAGAAAGACATCCATCATCCTAAGAGAAAATTTCTGAATTGCACATTGGTTAAAGCACGGTGATTTAGAAGACTCACAGTCAGTTTGCTGATGTTTCATTTTCTATTTGTTTTCCTGGGATATTCAAAATATGCAAAATGAAATAGAAATCAAAAGACAATTTATTAATAATAACACCTGCATCCCTATGGAACTACAAACATTTATGATTGTTTTCAAAATGCAATAGTATTCCCAGAAAAGAAGTTTGTAGGCTTATTAGTGTCATTTTATAAATAAGCAAGTAATGAAGAAATATTATGATTTCTCATCCTAGAGATAAGTTAGAGAACATTATTGTACATCACTCTTTCTCACTAACAAAAGTTTAAATGCAATGGAACTTCTCAAATGTCACTGCTTTTCTTTTTGTTCTTCAAATTTCCTTACCAATAAAGATAAGGTAATAATTGTCCCTTACATAGTGAGTGTGAGAATGGAATAATATATGCAAGCACATCAAGTAATCCTTCCATATAAATTCGTTGTTAACACTGTATTTGTTTTATCTCTGCTGTAGCTCTGAGCTCTATCCAAGAGCTATAAGTCACCACAGTCTGTTATTTTTTTTCCTTTGCAGAATTACTCATTCCTCCTTTCCTTTCCATTTCTGTTGCTTCTTTTTCGATTATGCCCTTTGTGCTTTATGTCCATACATTAAGCCTCTCAAATTTAATCTGATCTTTCTAACTACAGAGCCCTAGTGCTGTGTCTCCTAACTTGCCCATAATCTTCCTAGTCTTTATCCCTAAACCTGCTGAAAGTTTGTCCTCTTTACTGACCATAATCCCACGTGCTCACCGCCACCCACAGGGTGTTCCATTGTCTGGTGCCATCACCTACCCAGCCACACTTCAGTCTCTGGGTCCTTACACACTATATTCCAGCCAGTCCTCACTGCCCACTCCGGGCTGTCCTCCTCTTCCTGGGGCTTTTTCATTTTCTTGCAAAGCACTCTTCCTACCTCTGAAAATCTTCCCCATCCTTTAACCCTGAGAGAAAGTCTATTTTTGTTACAGTCCTTTTCTAGTTTCTGGGTGCGAAATACAATTGCTTTATACTATTCATATGCCAGATGTCCTTTTTGTCTCTTAGTATAAGTGTTCATATCCTCAGTCTGTAACACTGGCCTAGCACATGTAGATACTCAGTTACTACTTATAAATGGATGTTTATTAAATGATTTAATGAATGTTGTTCAATGATTTGTGATCTCTCTTGCATAACTAAGAATAGAAAAGTAAAAATGACTATGAATATATACTGTGAAGTTGCTGATTTCTTGGTGAAGACTGTAAATGTCTTATTTCTCTTGCCCTCCTCTCAATAACCGTTTCTTCTATGAATCAGTTCATAATTTCTTATTTTGTTAGTGCACAGTGTTGGTGTCAGTGATCTGGCAAAGAGCAACACAGTCTTTGTCAGCACCGATAATCTGAGCAAACAGCAGTGAAGAGAAACAGCACAGTTCTTAACAGTGAAATGTAAGGAGCATGATATCAGGGATCGTGAGGGAATCATAGAAACAAAGAATAAGGACACAGCTTAGTCTAGATTCTTGGAAGAATCTCCCTGAGGATGTGACCTTAAAACAGGTACAAGAGTGACCAAGCAGAAGGAAGGGTGGCAGGTCAATTTTATTACAAGGGCCAAGCTGGAATCTGGGTCCAAAGATGAAAAAGAAAAGAACCCTCCTCTTCCAGTTTTCATGAATAACATAACAATTTTCAATAAATGCTATGAAGAAAACAAGTAGTTGTTTGTTATAAAGAGGTAGTAAGTGAGGGAAATGGCATCTAATTATATACGGTAGCCTGCATACATTTTTCTGAAGAGATGCCACATAAGCTGAGAAACTTACAGGATAAGAAGGCAACCATGGGGAAATCAATCCAGAATTTGTTTGCTTCTTTGCTTGGAGGCAGGATCGCAGTATATAACACAGGCGGGCTTTGAACTTGCTTGTGACCTCAGACTCTTCTGCCCCAGCTTCCTGCGTGCTTGGACTACAGGCGTGCACCTTCGTGCCTGGCCTAAAAGTGTTCTCACAGAGGGATGAGGCTGTGCAGAGCTCTGATGGTGGGAAGGAAATCTGTTCAAAGGATAGAAAGAAGACCTATGTGACTAGTAGAAGAGGAGAGCTGAGATGAAGTTAAAAATGAGCCTCCAGACTGTGGAGGACTTCCTGGGCCAAGAGAAAAAGTGTGTTTCTCTAAGTGCATTGAGAAGCCATTCGTGGATACTAAGAAGAGTGGCATGGTCCAATTTGCACTTTAAAGTATTTGCTTTGCTGGGAAGGAAGGAATACAGCAGGACATCCAAGATAATCGAAGCTCAGACTAGGGAGGAAAGAGTGGAGATAACAGTAGGAGAATCTCACATATCTATTGGAAAAATATAACGAGGACATGTGGATTGGAGGTGGGGGCTTAAAAAAAAGAGGAATTGAAGGAACAAAGAGCACAAGGCCAGCAGTGGTCCTCCTCGTGGGAAGGACCTTCTGTTAACTCCTTCCTTCTGAGCTTCTTTCTTTGGTTCTGATTTTTTTTTTTTTTAATACTGGACTTTGAATCCAGGTTCTTTGCAGTGAGCTACATACTCGGTCTTTCTTTTACTTTTTTATTTTGAGACATGGTCTCACTAAGTCACTAAGTTGCTGAAACTGGACTGAACTTGTGATCTTCCTGCCTCAGCCACCCAGAGTGCTGAGATTATAGGCAAAAGCCACCATGCCTGGTGTGCAAATTATTCTTTCTACCTTAGCCTTACTATGGTTTGAATATTACTTGCCCAAAATTCTTGGGATCAAAAAGTTTCACATTTTGGAATTCTAGAATATTTGTATATATAAGAAATATCTTAGGGGTGGGACTCAACACAAAACTTTAAAAATTCATTTATGAAAAAATCCATGCGTCTTTCATATATACCTAACACACATAGCCTGAAGGTAATTAAGCATTAGTTTTATTGTCATTGTATTTTGGCAATGAGATGTCATATAAGGTCAAACGCAGAGTTTCTTCTTGTAGCATCCTTCCTATCACTCCTCAAATTTTGAAGCATTTCAGGTTTTGGATTTTCAGATTAGGAGTTCTCAATCTGTGCAAAGCTGAGGATTTTTTAACTTTTTAATCATCAATTTAGCCCTTGCAACCTCAGAATAAGGATGGGAGGAACAAATTGTAAACTCTAATAATAAATATGAGTTTAGGTCTTGAACTCAATTTCTCTGATATCCCAGTCATCTTTATCACAAAGTGGAAATTTAAGGGAACCTCTGCAAATACCTCCCTCCCAGGGCAAAAGCCACATCTCCACTGATGATCGGGTGGCTTGAAAGGATGCCTCAGAATGACCTGGTACGGCATCTGAGATTCCGCAGCCCCTTCCTGCATTATCAAGCCACTGAGGATAGCAACCCAGCCACATAACAACACAGCCAGCTGTGTGCTAGTTTCCGGTACTGCCATCATTTGGCTTTGGTTGTGTGAATAAGTAATTCCAAGTGAATCCTACTGAGAAGCTAAGCCAACTTCATGTGGTGTTTGCTGCTACAAGAGATTGTGCTTATATTCTAGACAACTAACATTTTAAAACTAGAAGGAACCATAAATACCTATTTACCTGATGCCTTCATAATATAAGATAAACAAAATTAAGGCCATTTTAGGCATATTCCATAAAATCACAACCTTGAACACCCTTGAACACAAGTCTAGATTTTAACTATATCTCTTACTAGTCAGGCGAACTGATCTCTGTGCCCTCCTTCAATTTCTTTTACTTTAAATTGGGAATAATAATTTCTACACAGCACACTAGTCAAGTGGGGTAGAACTAATGTATATAAAACACGTAACATAAAACATTCAAGCCAAGCATGTTATCCCTGCTCTAAGGAGGCTGAAGCAGGGAGAGTGCCAGGAGGTAGAGGCCAGCCCACATAATGGGACCCTGTCTCAAAAGTAAATGAATAAATAAATGGCAACTATTTTTAAATATTCTGTTTTTCTTGTCCACCACTAAAATAACAGGATTGTTTAGTAGCCAGTGCAAACTTATAACTCACTTCCAACCTAATGCTCTTTGTATCTACCTACATATACTTGACAGAAATTTTCCTGGGGATCACAGACTTTTACCAGGTCTATTGAAGAGTGACAAACATATCCCCTCTCAAGCCCTTTGAGACATTTTTTGTGCCCTGGAGAGTCAGATACAAATGTGTAATTTTATGCAGCAGTGAAATGCCATTTTGTAGTACCAAAAAAAAAAAAAAATACCTAAAGCAATATTCCAACCCTGAGAACCAGGTCTGGCACACATAATAAAAGACTCTTTAATAGGAAAAATAATCTATCAATTTTGTGAAAGGGCTTTTGGAAAATGTTCGAAGTCCTACAGCATAAATGGTACATTGTCCTAGTTTTTTGCTAGAAATTGTAAGCTAACACTAAAGAACAGAATTCCTTCTGCCTGCATTTTTAGAATATGATCTATAGAGACAATTCTTTTTTTTTTTTTTTTTTTAGGGATTAATAGATGACATAAGCAAAAGAGATGGCACAGAGTGAATGAAGATAATAATAATAACAATACTTAATTCTTAAAGGCATTTTAAAATCTATTGTTTGCCTATAGAAGGAAATCCGTCATACGTTCATGGCCCTGTTCACTTTCTGGTATTTTTCTTTGCTACAATACTGTTACAATTCCCCTCCGCAGCGTGGAAGGCTCTGTGTGTCTGAAAGGTCCCGGGAGCTCATTTCTGGTACCAGCCACTGGAGTGTGCTCTCGAGTATACTGCAGCCTGCCTGCTCAACAGGAAGGTGATGGTTCCTGAGACAAGTTCCTGGAGACTTTGTAGTGGTGTCCTCCAGAGAGAGCTGTCACTGTGGGCAACCACTCGATGTTGTAGTACAGCCAGGAGTGCCCGCGAGCTACAGAGATAAGGAGAAGTACTACTGTTGGGAAGTTATGTCCTAAAAGCAGAAATGTTCTTTCATGATCTGTTAATGTCTCCACTTTTGCTCCTTAATTTTTAAGAGCTGAATTAAAGGGAAGAATATGTCCATTCTTGTACTTGATATATGGGGTAAGGGAAAAGAGACTCAGCGCAGGGCTGGCTCAAGGTGGGTAGAGTCCTCTCCACTGCAGAACCTTAAGGCTTTGCAGACTTCTCCACAGTATGCCTTCTGAGTCATAGTGTTATTTTATTCATTTGCTCAACTAGTATTCTTTAACAACCAGTATTTTATTCCCGTGGTTTAAGTTCTATTCTAAAGGTTCATTCCTTTCTCCCTTGGCTGTATAATAAAGTCTTTCAAAATACAAAGGCGAGCACTTGAATAAGTGGAGAAACATTGGAAGCTTTAGGAATTTAAACAGAGTCCCTATGCACATATTCTTCATGCTTTAGATTAGGTTTCTTAGAGAATTTTTGTTGCACCATTTACTGGAAAACCATCAATTAAAAAATGATGATGATAACTTTAAAATACACTCAATTAAAAAATAATGACCCTAAATATACAAATTGTCTTGTTTTTTTTTTTTTTTAATAATGTGAAATTAGTTTCTTCCTTCAGGCTTGCAAAATAAATAGTACCAGTTGCTTTTTTCTGCATGATCAGAACATTAAATTTTTTAACTTATGAAATATTATAACTTAAATATTTTAAACACACAGGAAAATACAGTTATGCTTTAAACTAGTTCATATGCTGTACACATATTTAAATTCTCTAAAGTCATGAATTCCGAGAAGCATCTATCCAGTGTTTTTACTATGGGTTGACTACTCCCCTAGTGCACAAAAAATAATTCTATTTAGTCCAGTTCTATAGGGGAATGTAAATAATAATTGATAATCCAAATCAATTATATAACTTGCTAGAAAACAGTTTTATGATAGACAGATAAAGCAAGGTGTGTGGAATCATAGCAGAACACAAGAGTAATTCTGTAATTTTATACACAGAGACATCTTTAAAAAGTGACATTTGTTCAAACACTTGGAGAGATAAACAAGTGATCTAGGAGTGGAAAGACCCTGTGTCTCTATTGTCAGTCTAATGTTGCTGGCCTGACACACAAATATAACTGTCCTGACATAGCATAGCACTTATTTAAAAAAAAAAATTCAGTTGATGTGTGGAAAATAGGGTAGAACTAGAGAAATCTATAAGGAAAAGAGTACAATAACCAAGTGTTAATGGTTCTCTTGCAAGAATACAGCAAGTTTGGTGTTGGCAGTGTTGGTCCCATTCTGGCTATATTTTGGACAGACCCATCTGACCTCTCTGATGTGAAAGACACACTGTATGGTTATTAGTCTGAATAACTGGAAGGATGGAGCTACCATGCCTAAAATTCAAAAGACCTCCCGGAATGAAAGTAGAAGTAGGAATCAGAAATTTAGACACTGAAAGTAATTCCACTAGCCCTGTATGAAACTATGCATATTTCTACATCAAAGTCAGCTTCTATAACCTGAGAACAAGTATCTTTAAATTCTGAATTAACCATATTCATTACAATGTACATATCGTATCTACCCAACTTTTCCTCTTTTTTTTTTCAGTACCGGGGATCGAACTCATGACTTGGCACTTGCCTGACAGGCGCTTGTACCACTAAGCTAAACCCCCGGCCCTTTCCTCTTTTTGTTGACAGTAATTTTTTGAAGGTTTTTATATCTTTAAAGCTCTATTCCTCCTTTTATTTTTTATTTCTCCATACTGCATACTGGATGATTTCCTTAAATATATCTTTTAAATTATAGTTCTCTCTACCTGTTTCCTGATCTGCTATTAAACTCATTTGCTTTTATTTCAATGACTATAATTTTCACTTCTTTGACTTTATTTGGTTTCTTAGATCCACCCATTCTTTTTGTAGATTGGTATGTTCTTTCTGTCCTTTGTTTTTATCACTTCAGTTATTTTAACCAAAATTATTTCCCAATTTCTTTCTTAGCCTTCCATTATCTTAATTACTTCAGTTCCTAATTCTCCTTTTCCTAACATGTGATCACTCCCTCTCCTATGAATGATTCTCTTTAATCATTCTTGATTTTGTTGCGGTCGTTGTGAAGTTCTCA